TATGCCTTCTTCTATCCCGATGACTCTCAAATTTGGTTTTTTTATGACATCCCATATCTCTTGAATAGATTGCTCATGGGATTTAAGCATCTTTTCTGTGTTGACTATATTCTTTTCAAGTTGATAAACTTTGTCTTCATTATCTGATGTTCTGACTTCTACTTGATCTAGTCTATTTGTAATATTCTCGTTTGAGTTTTTAATTTGGTTTATAGTTTCCTGCATTTCTAGGATTACTGTTTGATTTTTTTTACGATCTCTATCTCCTGGTAAAGCTCGTTCTTTGCCATTTGAATTTGTTTGTTTAATTCATTTTCAAAATATACTTTCAATGCTTGGACTTGCTGTCTCATGTCTTCTCTAATATTCCTTTCCATCTGAGTTAGGTATGCCTTGAGTTCTTTCCCTATCCATGTTTCTGATGCTTCTGGGTCCTCCTGTAGATTTAAGTTGTCCTGCATTGTTTGTACTCCTTTTTTCCCTTGTTTTTTCATGATGTTCACGTTACTTTCCAGCTCTATTTGATTGCTGTGTTTCTGCTCTCTTCTATAGATTTGTTTTGGTTTTGTATATCTCTGTTGTCTCTCCTTGTGTTGGCAGACTATGCCTGCTAAAGTGGATTCTGCTGAGAAGGAATTCCGACGGCCGAGCTCCAGTGACGTCACCTCTCTGCTATGGCGGGCCCCAGGCACCTTGCCGGGGTGTCCGAATGGGAGGTGGTGGGACTGGACTGTCTCTGGTTGGTTTCAGCTCCCAGTCCCGCGGGCAGCGGGTGGGCTGTCGCCGGTGGGCGGGCAATCTCTAGCCACCCAGTAGCGCGGTCAGTCGCCGGCGGGCGGGCGGTCTCCAGCTGCCCAGTCGCGAGGGCCTGGCCTCTAGTCCCCTGGTTTCTCCTGCTAGTCCTGGTTTCTCCTGCTAGACCAGATTTCCCCTGAGTGATGCCTCTCTGCAGTTCAAACTGTACTCTGGGCCTGCCGTTTGTTGGGTGTGGAGGGTGGCTATTGGGAACCCCGGCACTCTATTGTTTTGATTTTTTCCGCTTGCCCCTCCCCCAGCGCTGGCAAGACAGGTTTCATTTTTGCCGCTGATGGGAGGGGGAGTTGAAGGTCAGGTGTCTCTAGTTTTCCCCTCATCTTTATGCAGGCTGGCTCTGATAATCCCTCCCCCGGAAAGCCTAGGAGAGATTTTATGCGAATTCCCCACTGTATGGGAGATGAGCTGAGTAACACACACCTGTTTTATTGTTGCAATCTGTCAGAGAGTGGCGGTGGTTACTTCAGCTCTCCAAGATGGTGGCCGCTGGTTTCCTTGGTGGAGTTTCTGTTGTGGGGGATAGAACTGTACCGCTTCCTTCCCCGTCTGAAATCCTGAAGTCAGCCCAGGGCTCAGTGAGAGCTCAGCCAGCAGGATTCCACAGAATCCGGAGCAACATTTCTCCCTGCTTGCTGGTCGCTTCTCGGCGGCGCCCCGCCATCTGTAGCCACGGGGTGGGCCGCGCGGATCAGTCAGCCCGGATCTCTGGTCACACAGTTGGCTCATGATTGAGACTCAATTACCGGACCTCAGTGCTGGAAATCCTTCCTCTAGGTTTCGGTGCACCCCCATTTTGCTGTAAGATCCTAACAAGATAGTTTTTTGTCGGTCTAACTCGTTATTCACCTGCGCAGTGGCGCGGTACACGGGGTGTGATGCACTTTATTCGTGGCCATCTTGGAGTCCCCCATTCTCCAGAATGCCTTTATAAAAAAATATTTTTTAGGTGTAGTTAGACACAATGCCTATATTTTGTTTATTTTTATGTGGTGCTGAGGATCAAACCCAGTGCCTCATGCATGCTAGGCAAGCCCTCTGCTGCTGAGCTACTGCCCCAGCCTCTCAATGGAGTATTATTCCATCTTAAAAAGGAAGGACATTCTGACACATGCCACAGCATGGAAGAACCTTGAGCATATTGTGCAAAACAAAATAATCCTGTAAGGAAAATAAAATCACTCAGGGGATTCCACTCCCCTGAGTGTCCCTAAAGTAAGCAAATTCACAGAGATAGAATGCAGAGTGTGGTGGGCCAGGTTTGAAGGAAGGGGAAAGATGGGATAGCGTTTACTGAGGATGATGTGTCAGTTTGGTATGATGGAAAGTGTTCTGTGGATGGATGGTGATTATGGCTGCAAAACAACGTGAATGTACACAATGCCACTGATCTACACTCTGAAAAATGGCTAAGATGGCCAGGCATGGGAGCACATGCTGTAATCCCAGTGACTGGGGAGGCAGAGGCAGAACTGCAAGTTCCAGGGCATCCTGGGAAATTTAACAAGAACTTACGGTTCAGATATCGGGGTGTCACCCAAAAACTCAATTTGAGACAATGCCAGAAAGTTTAGAGGTGAAATGATTAGGGCATAAGAATTTTAACCTAATCAATGCATTAATGCCCTGATAGAATAAACTGGGTGGAACCTATAGGTAGGTAGGATGTGGCTGAAAGAGGAGGGTCATTGGGAGGGTGTGCCTTTGGGGTATACATGTTATCCATGTGCAGCAAAAGTCTCTCTCTGCTTCCTGATATCATGTCCTGAGCTGCTTTAATCTAGCACAGCCTTCCACCATGAGGTTCTGACTCACCTTGGACCCAGATCAATGGAGTCTGCCATCTAGGGACTGAGATCTCTGAAACCTTGAGCCCCAAATAAACTTCTCCACCTCTAATTGTTCTTATCATGTCTTTTGGTCACAGCAGTGAAAAAGCTGACTAAAACCCTGTCTCAAACTAAAAAAAAGTGGGGGGGGGGGGATGTAGCTCGGTAGCAAAACACCCCTGGGTTCAATCCCCAGTAAGAAAAAGAAAACAACAAATACAGGCTAACATGACTAATTGTTTTATATATACACACACACACACATATATATATATAAAATTCCTTAGAAGAAGGTTCTAGTTTTATTTTGCACATTGAGTATCAACTGTTGGATTACTGTCTGATGAATGAATAGCCCAGGACACAACCCGTCTCACTGAGCAGCCAGGCTTCTCCTCATTCTGCCAAGGTGTTTTGTCCCATCTCTTCATGTTCCACCAGGAGTTTGCTCCCGTCCTTCCCAAGGAGGGTGCACACGGGTGAAAAGCAGCCCTAGTCATCCTGCTGTCATTCCCCTCCCACTACAGAGTGGGCGCCTGCAGATTCATATGTGAACTAAGGGACAGAAGGGACACAGATGAGATGAGAAGTGCATGTTTCCTGATTGAACAGTTGGCTTTCACTCACAGATGCATTGGGGACTAACTGTGCTGTTTTCCCTGGAATCTGGTTTTCCTCGTTGGATTGGAGCAGGGCTCAGGGGAGCACACCTGTAATCACAGTTTCTTGGGAGGCCCAGGCAGGGAAAGAAATTCAGGTTGAAACTAGTTGGAGGTTCATTCTAGATACAAGCCCTGCTTCCTGCATGCTGTTTGCACTGGCATTCCTTATTTACCTTTTAGTTTCCATCCTTCTAAGAATCCTTTCCTTAGGCCCTTTCATGATTCTCTTGCCTTCTCTCCTTTCCAGCTGGGGCTAAGAAACTAACAAACATGGTAACACAAGCCTTAGGAAAACCTCTGCTCAGCAGAATAACAAGAAAGGAACTGGCTGTTTTATTCTTAATCAAGCCATAAATATAATTTTTAAAAATAAGAACCATGTTTTTGTCTTTAAGAGAATTTTTTAATATTTATTTTTTAGTTTTAGGTGGAGACAATATCTTTATTTTACATTTATGTGGTGCTGAGGATCGAACCCAGTGCCTCATGCATGCTAGGCAAGCACTCTACCACTGAGCCACAACCCCAGCCCCTAAGAGAATTTTTTAATGTTCTCTTTAGTAATAAATGACAGGAGAATCTATTTTTGATATATTTTTACAAACAAGGAATACATCTTATTCTAATCAGGATTCCAGTCTTGTGGATGTACACAATGTTGAGATTCACTCTGGTGTGTTCGTGTATGTACATATAAAAAGTTATGTCAGAAGAATTCCACTGTCTTTCCTATTCCTATCTCCCACCCTTCATTCACCTGTGTTTAAACTACTGAATTTCTGTTCCCTCACAACTTATTGTAAGTTAGCATCCATGTATCAGAGAATATCAATCTTTGGCTTTTGGGGGATTTGACTTAATTCACTTAGCTTGATAGTCTCCAGATCCACCCATTTACAAGTGAATATCTTCTTTATGGCCAAGTAATATTCCATTGTACATATATACCACAATTTCTTTATCCATTCATCTATTGAAGGGCACATAGGTCTGTTCCATAGCCTAGATATTATGAATTGTGCTGCTATAAATATTGAGGTGGCTATATTACTGTAGTATACTGATTTTAAAACTTTTGGATATATACCAAGGAGTGGGATAACTGGGTTAAATGGTTCCTAGTTTTTTAAGGACTCTCCATACTTCTTTCCAGAGTGGTTGCACAGACTCAACTGGTATAGAAATATGGTGCTGAATGAGCACTCTACCGCTGAGCCACAATCCCAGGCCCATTAAATGAATCCCTAATCCAAGCTCACTCCCAGTTCAGCCTAGAGTATCTTAAAATGTTTCTGGTCCTCAAAAAAGCTTAGGTTTCATTCATAAATTCTGAAGACTTTCAGTTCCCCTACTTAACAGGAAATATCTGGGAAGGTGCCCTTATCTACATTCCTTAGAAACAAAAGAAATTTTTTGAAAAAATATTCTGGTTTTGAAGGAGAGTAGCTGGATTGAAGAAGTCTTGGAAGGAAGCCTGGGTCAGAGAATGAGGACCCACCTTATTTTGATCCCACGATGGCCTTGGTACGCCCTTCACCAAATGTGAATGTACTTCACATGGTTCTAGTTTGAAATCTCTCATGACATTAAATGGGGAAGTGTTGGCTTTACTAGGAGAGGCATGCTCATCTCAGTGCACACTGAGTTTCAGGGAATTCATTTCTGCCGGGAAAAACAGCTAATCAATGAGAGGAACTGATTGAACATACGTAAATCATATGCCACATTTATTGATTGTAACCCCAAACCAGTCTTTCTGAAAACAGTTATATTTCATTTTACTGTTCTTACTTCCACTAAAGTAACATCACTGCACTGCAAAATTAACTCTGCAAAATGAAGTTCCCAATGCATGTGTCTTGATTTTGATACCAAGTGATAGAAAACATTACATCATCCCATATGAAAACATATTCCTTAGACTCCTTGTTTCTTTGATCTCCTTTTGAAAGAGTTATAATCAAGGACTGTTTCAAAGGGTGATTCTTTCTCCTTTCACAAGTCGGCCTCGAAACATCCAAATATCCTGGAAATAATACCAAACAGAATGAGTGTGTGGAACACATCCATTGGCCTATTCCCCACAAGAGATTTCTAGGCTCTACAAATGCTTAAAACGGAAAACAATGCTATGATTATTATATTGATTAATAAATAAACAAGCTTTGAAACTGCAATTAATTATCTTGCCAACAATTAAAACAATGCCAACTGCACGGAGTCGGTGGATCCTCAAGCTTTTGGCCTCCCTGATCACAGTAATGTACCAGGTAATGCACCACGGAGGGTGGCTGTGATGCTCAGTCACAGCAGTTTACAACCCTTCTCTCAGCTTGTCTTTTTGTTACTTGCCTGAACCACTTTGAGGTTGCAACTCTGATGAGATCGTAGTAGTGAACATGGTGTCACGGATACTGGTTTACTTGGGTCTGGGGAGGGGGTACTGGAAATGGAACCCAGGGCCACTCTCCACTGATCTATATCCCCAGGCTTTTTATTTTCCATTTTGAGACAGGGGCTCACTAAGTTGTTGAGGCTGGCCTCACTTACAATCCTCCTGCCTCAGCCAAGCTGTGAAGTAGCTGGGATTATAGGCATGTGCCACAAGCACCCTGCTGCAATTATTAATAAAGCAATTGAGACCTTCTAATTTCTTGTTTCTTTTTTATTGCTGAGCATACAGCAAGGTATGGTGAAAAGAATGATTTCAAAATTAGGCCTGACTTGAAATCTAGCTCTGTTTCTTAGGCCAGTCTCTGGGACTCCAATTTCTCCTTTACAGCAGGTGTTCACTGCATTCTAGTAAAGAAAATCAGAAATGGCACATGGATGTGTTTTTGTTTTTTCAAATTCTTTGATTTGTAATTGGACATAATACCTTTATTTTATTTATTTATTTATTTTTATGTGGTGCTGAGGATTGAACCCAGCGCTTGCACATGCTGAGTGAGCACTCTACCGCTGAGTCTCAACCCCAGCCCCATGGAAGTGTTTTTATAAGTTAGAATTATATGAGTTTGTATTGTTATTCTATTCTATTGTTACTCTAAATATATCTGATAAGCTCTAACTTATGAGATACTAAAATAGTGGTGTTCATCCAGGACAACCTTCACAAACTTCAAATGTAATGTACATTCCAGGACCCCTCAGCTACCAAAATTCATGGGTGCTCACATCCCCGCAATAAAATAACCTCTGTACATCCTCCCATATATTTTAAATCACCCCTAGATTACTTAGAGCACCTGGTGCAATAGAAACATGAGGTAGTTTTTAGGTAGGAAATAATGATTAGGAAAAAAATGTCTGTACATGTTCAGTACAGATGCAATTTTTTTTCAAATATTGTTTAATATTCTGAATATTTTTCCAATATTTCACTTGGTTGAATCCCCAATCATGGAGCATTTTTAGACAAGGGACATATTGGTAGGTTCTAAAAGGAGAAGCAAGATTCTCCACCCTGGAAAGCTATTCCAAAGGTTCGCAATGGCACTGTGGCATCCCTCTGATGTGCTGAGCCTTACAACATCCTGGATGGCCCAGAGTCATCATCACTCTCAGTCTCTTGAGGGAAGGGGCATGCCTGCATTATCATTATCTCATACCAATAACATAAATAGGAAGAGCTTCTTCATTCAGGGCCTAAAATGTGTGTTTTATATAAAGTGAAGATGTTTATTTAATTCCCTGGATTGATAATTTGCCTTCTGCTCATCAGCATCATGGAATATCCACCACTTAAAAACAGACACTTTCCAAGTGATGTGTATCAATTAGGAAAGCACATGAAACACTATCTAATGCCCCCTTAGATGTATTCATCCCTGCTCCATGCACATTATGCCTCTCATAAAACTCCAGATGCACATTTACCGAAAGGAACACTGACCCCAGAACTGCTCTGTGGAGTCTGACTGGATTTCCTAATAAAAATATACTTTGCCAAGAAAGGAGGCCCGATTGAAGTCCCAAACCTTTAAGTTTGCTCCTATGCATATAGAATTCCCCTTATCCTTAATTTTAAATTAAATTAGGAATGAATTAAGCACATGAAAACAAGAAACTTCAGGCATCTTGATTTTTTTCATGCAAGTGTACCTTAAAGTTTAAGCCACTTTCAGTTCCATACAATCTGTCTGCTATTCCCAAAACTTCTTTCTCGATATTTTCTTGAACGGTGCCCTTCACGTCAATGTAGTGGCAATCAGCGCTGGCGAAATGGCAGGAAATTGCCTGTGCAGAGTGAACAATCGATAATGGAGAAAAGAACTCCATGAATGCAACAACCAAGCTAGGAGTTCCTCCTTGCAGAAAGCCAATTCTCCATGATTCTATACCTAGCAGACCCAAAAGGGTCTACAAAGAAAGTCAATTCTTCCACCCAGAATTTGACATCTAAACTGGTAGAACACTCCATGGCATCCCAAATCTGCCTCTTTGTAGGTCAGCCTCTCCATCCTATCCCCAACTGAAGGCTAATTAAGAAATTACAAAAGATTTTTTTTACCTAGCTATACTATTTACTTTTTAAAGGTATATGTAGGACAGGGGGCATAACTACCTAAGTAACCGATCTTCACATTTTTAAGCATTTAAGTTTTCCCAATGAACATATACCTCCACGTCCTAAAAAAAGAATGTACCCCTCTGTGGTTCATCATCTTCTTAGTCATAAAGCTTAGATACCCAGTAAAATTTGGGACAGGTTATTATAGAAATGGCAATTTTTATAAAAACTTTCTGCTGTGCCCAAAATTTTGAACTTCTAAAGTGCAGATCCAACCTCAAATTTCTGTGCAAGTCCAGTGCCAAGCAGAGCCACATCAAGACCCAAGGCAAAAAGAATTGTTGTATATTCCTACATCCAAGTTGTTAGGAAATAATTATAAATATTCTTCCAGAACATTAAAATAACTGAAAAATATGGAAGTATTTCAATATTAATATTCTACAACTGACATCACTATTTGCATCTTTGTGCCTGCACCCCCATAGTTACACAACTTGAGAGTTGTTCTAGTGCAGGTATTTCTTGTCTTTTACTTAAATTTTTGGCATTGAGGACAGCATGGATGTTTTGCATTAATATTGATTTAGTAAAACACCACTTATTTTGATGGCTGAGATTTTGGTAGCCCCTTCAATTTCATCCTCAGGCAATGTTCCAACTTGTATCAACCTGTGCCAGGCCTGGTGAACCTGGTGCAAATATAAATAAATGAAGTCTGCAACCCTATACTCAGGGTTAAAACAGGGATCAGTGGGAACCAGGGAACAAATTGGGAAACCCCACTGAATCTTAAAGAAGCCTCAATAGTATGGACAACCATGTTACCTTGGGGAAAAGTGAACCGACAATACTATGAGATCTGCTGAATTTGAGAGAAGTGAGAAATCAGAGAAATTGTGAGGAATTCTGTCCATTTTAAATGTGACAAAATTATTTAATTTAAAACATGAGATTGGAAGGGGATAAATATGGCTGCATGCTAAATCTCATTTTGAGCAGCCAATTCAGAACCTTTGCTTCAGATCAATACTATTTTCCCAATAATAATATGATAAATTTTCTTCTTGTTCTAGTTACCCTGAGCAATATAAATTCCAAATGTGATTATTTGAGTATTTCAGCCATTGTTTTTGCCTCAGAAAGCAGAATCTGTGCACTGCAAGGTGAGCTACTGCTCTGAAGCAATTTCACAAATGACCAAGATTCAAGAGCAACAGGTTTAGGATCCTGAGGGCACCTGTCTTCTCACAGAGTAGAGCAAAATCAAAACAAACAAAAGCACTAAAAGGCAAATATACTTTCTGGAAAGTAAACTGGAAAAAACAATCCAGTTTAGTGAAAAGTCATAAATCTTTACATGTTACTATACAAATGACTTTCTGTTTTGAACCCATCTTTTAAAATCTGGATGCATACTTTCCGGAATCCTTGAGTTTGGTTCCGACCAGATCCATGGATGAGCAAAGGGTGAAAGAAAACGGTGTCTCCCTTCTCCATCACAAGGTGCACTCGGGCATGGTCTTTGTCATAGTCCTGGATCCCATGGTACATGCTGTTAACTCCACCCTGGAACACATAAGACAGGCACAGTCTACACTGGAGGAAGAAATCAATGCTTTGTGTATGACTTGGCAGGGACAGCAAGGGTTCTCTGACTTCTTCCAAGAGAAAGACTTTAAAATTAAAATCTTAAATTTAAAAAAAAATGCAAAAGTCTGTGATATGTCTGGGTTTTTAAACATCGTCTGCTATGAGTACAGTGTTACACACCTGTGATCCCAGCTACTTGGGAGGCTGAGGCCAGGCATCACAAGTTCAGGGTAGACTAGCAAACTTAGCCAGACTCTGTCTCAAATTAAGATTTGTATAAAGGGCAGAGGATATAGCTCAGTGGTGGAGGGCTTGCCTAGCATGTGCAAGGCTCTGAGTTTGAACCCCAGCAATGCTACAAATTAAAATCACAAGTTAATAATAAGTTCACGGGTTTTTTGACCAAATGAAAAAATGTTGAACTTTACCTACCCTTCCTCATTGAATTATAAATAATCAGATCAGTTCTGCCTCTTGTGGTGAATGCAGGTGAACACCTTTCTCTTAGGCATTTCCACCTTCAATCTTAACATCCTTGCCCCAGCCTGATATTCTCCTCACCTAGAATTTTGTTCACATCATTCTTGTATAAATCAGGGTATTTTAGAGAGGCTAATTATTCTCCCCAAACCAAGTGGAGAATGTGCTCAATTTTTCTAAGCTCAAAGGATTTATGTCATATTCAGAATAAAAAGGGAATAGTAAGTTTAAATACTGTGTTTGTTGATAACTATTTCCAAAAGTAGTCAGAACTCTAGGAAATGTGTATGTCTTTATTATAGAAACTAAAAAGAGAAGTGACTACAGTTGAAGAGCCTTTATGCTTCTGGGCAGAAGGGTCCCATTCCTCAGCTAAGAGTATCCTTTTCGGCAATTACCATTGTCATTGTGCTTCACATTGTGACTTTGACCCCCTGCCCTTCTTTCCTGGCCAAGGTGCATATTGACCCCTGCTAAGCTAAGCTGACCTTCCACTGCCACTGCTGTGAATCTCAACAGCATCTCAGACACCAGTCTGCTCCCATAGCCTTGGACGCCATTCCCTTCTGCTCAATCAGCCACAGCCTCCTTAGGATTGCACCAACCCTTGCCTGTCCCAGAACTTAACTGATGAATTTCACCATTTCCACTTTTATATTGGGATTCAGACTCAAATATTTCCACAGAACACAATCAGTAGTGCAAGAATTCGGAGAGAAAAGCCCTTGAAGCCACAGCCTTCACATCCTACAGAAACAAGACGCAGTCTCCTTGCTCACCACAGCTGCCCTTTCCATTCGGACCATCATCAGGGATTTCAGGATCTTCTGGTCTGGCATCAAAAAGGCTGAGATCTGCTCTCTGGTTTTGCTGCCTCTGAGCTCCTATACCTCCTGGGAATCATGAATCATGCCCCAGACCTGAGATCATGTTCTTGAAGAATGGATAGGACCTCATCATTCATGGATGCAGAAGCACATAGTAGCTCCCCAGCATCAATATTTGAATGGATAAACCAAACATTGTTCAGCCATGCCACGGAATACTACTCAGGAATGGAAAGGAACAAGCTATTGAGACATGAGTCAGGTTTCATGAGCCTCTAAATACCTATGCTGTGCAACAGCAATTACTCAAAAAAAAGTATATGCCACTTAATTAGACTTTACACGACATTTTATAAAATGCAAATTAAAAAATAGGAACAGAAAGCAGGTGAGTTCTTACCTGAGGCAGGAGGTAGAAAATATCCTCTTGATTGTGATACCAGGTACATGTGTGTCAAAATGATTAAATTATACACTGAAAATATGTGCCATCTATATGACAAAACCCCATATTATTAGAAATTACAAGCTCTTGCTGCTTCCTAAAAAGGGAACAACCCCATTTTCTTCATGTAACCTCCAAGTGTTAAAGTGCTTTTTAATCCTGTCCTAGCATACCTTTCCAGGCTCTCCTCCCTCTCCTACTTCCTAAAATGTGCCTCTACCCCCAGCCCATCAGAACTGGGATAACCTTCAATCTTTCCTACTCCACAGTCAGATCTGCGCTTGTCAATAACTCTGATTCCTCCAAGGAGCCTTTTTGCGATAGAAAATCTACCTTGTCCTTTAAGGCTCAGCTCAGTCACCACCTCCCACCCCTGAGCCTCTGCTGGTCCTCACAGGGACAAGGAGGCAATTCCTCCCTCCCTTCCTCTACTCTGAGAGCCTCAGTCAGTGGGCACTTCACACACACCAGAGTTGAAGGGTTGATGTCTGACCTCTGCCATCAGGCCTCGCCATCTCAGATCCTAGGCCCCTCCAGATCCAGGTCCCCAAACTAGCTGGCTTTCACACATATGATGAAAGAAAAATATAATGAATATTTGATCTTATGTCCTTGAACTCCCCCGGATCCTAATTGCAAATTTCAGGACAGTGCTTTGCTGAGAAAGGAAAGCAGTCTCATTTCTAAGCTTTTTGCACCGATGTAAAATTACAACAGTGAAAGAGATTCTGATCCAGACTCAGTGGTCAGACAGACCTACCTCCCACTGGGGGTAGTCATGCGGCATCAGGGGAAGTTTGTGGGTGCCTGGGAGGACAGCCAGACAGCCGTTGTTCTGGTCAATGTGCTCCATGGCGGTCCAAGCACACACAATGCGATTGCTGGGCCTGAAGGGGAAATAGTGCAGATCCTGGTGCAAAGGGTGCCGGGAAGTCTTCTTGCCTGAAATGAGCCTGCTGTCAAAAAGAGCTTGAGCCTCACAATTCTTATTTTTATTGTGTTATGTGTCTGTGTGTCTGTGTGGTGCTGGGGATTGAACCCAGGGCCTTGTGCATGCAAGGCAAGCACTCTACCAACTGGGCTATATCCCCAGCCCCACAATTCTTATTCTTTGCCTGAATAAATAACACACTGACCTTCCCTTGCAAAAAAAACAAATACTGTGTGGTTTCCATTATGGAAAATCAGTCCCAAGAGAACAGAACCAAACAAAAATATCAGTCAACATGGGGCTTGGAATCTATACTTTCTTCTGGGTTTCTGGTTGCTGGGTGCTTACTCTCTTTTCTAGGGAGCTGGATATACTTCATCATCTCTGTTGTGCTTTATTCCTTTGTCACTCTGAATTTGGTACAGAGCTAGTAGGCAGTAGGAATTAAAAACAAAAAAAGCTGGATCAACTAAATTGAAGATAATGTTACAGAGTAAAATTTGAGGTCCGCTTCAAAGTGGCTGATGCCAAAAACAGTTCCCTTAGAGGCCTTAATTCACAGGCATCCTGTGTACGGTCAGTATCCAGTCAGATTCATTGACCACAGGTACATTTTCCCCAGTTTGAGCTTAGAACTTGGTTCCCAAACCACTTCATCTCCCCAGGCAGGACATCCATGGAGGAAGACATTTAGTAACCCTGCACTTCAGACCTATCACATAAAAATCACCCAGCTCTCAGAAGGAACTAAAAGTAGAAAAGAATAAAGCCATTAATGGCTGATTTCTCTTTCTGTTACAGAAAAATCTCTCCATGTGGTCTGAGAGACACCTGCAGTAGAATCTCTGGGGACGGGTATTAAAAGGCAGACACCTGGGATCAACTTCAGAATCGGTGTCTCTCTGAGGACTTAGATCTAGGTTTGGCAAGCACAAGGCACCACAAGGGCTTGAATGTGACTTGTAGTAACAGCTTTCATCTTGTTACTAATAATGATATCTTCAGATCAGGAATGCAGAATCCGTGTGATCCTGGTTAAGAATGGTGGGTGAAAATCAGAGATGTTGAACAGAAGGAGTCTATGATATAAGAACAGTCACATATCTTAAACTGCCACTTCAGACAGCCAGTCATTTGAAAATTTAGCAATAAAGTATCTGAAATATTATCACATACTCCAAAATTGATATAACATGAACTCTTTTAAGACTTAAATAAAAGCACTCAAATTCACTCAACCAAAGTTTGACAGTTACACACTTGACTGGAACAACAACTTTACATATTTTAATTACACCATCTTTTTTTATTTTCTTGCCTCTCTTTAACAAGTAAGAGCCCTTTACCAGTATCTGGAGGTTTGTTTATCAGCATTGTATGCATCGCCATGATATTGGGTCCAGTGAAGCACTCCACATACTTCAGAATCTAAGAAAAGAAAGAAGAAGAAAAACAACCTCATGGGAAATCAGAAGTATAGGCAAGGGGCATAAAGTGTCCACACAAGAATCAAAATGACAACAGTATAAACATCAACTGGTATTTTGCAATCTTGCCAAGCATGTATACCTCAGAATTGGAAACCATTCTAAATTTCCAACACTACAAATTAAATATGACTTTTTGAGCATGCCTGGAGAATAATCCAACGAGTGTAGTCATTCTCTCAACAACTCTTCCCTCAGGTTCATGAACCAAGCAGAGTAATGGCCAGAGGGGAACCAAGAGTGAACAAGAAAAGAAGATCCCTGTCCCCATGGAGTTTCAGTCCCTTGAGAAGAAAGGAAAGTAGGGAATCTGAACTTCATGGATGATAGTGCTTCATCCACCATGAGATAGTTCTGGCTTCAAGTGCTATCTATGATCCACCTGCAGACTTCCATTCCCATCACAGCATGGGAGGTGGGAACTATCCCATCACAGCATGGGATGGTTGGGGGCCATTTTCCCTGGCCTTCTCTCCAGGGTGCGGGGTGGGACATCACAGGTGATTTATTCTGTGCTATCTGTCCTCAGGAGTAAAACTGTCTAATAACATCTGGTTATGATTCTCCATGAGTGCTATATGGAAAGTCTCTTTCAAACCCATTTTAAACAAGTGGTTAGGAAAACATGGTGCTAAAAGGTGGGAGCGTACAAATACATTTGAGGATTCAGGAACTAATTTCAGAAGAATGCACAAAGAGCTCACAGCAAACAGAACTTCAGTAGAAAGAATCTGCTTCTCATGTTGTGCCTTCTGCACTGCTTAGATTTTATTTATATATATATATATATATAAAATATTTATATATATATAAAATATATATATTATATACATACATATAATACCCTTAAAGAAGAATAATTTCGAAAACAAAAACAAACCCTAATTTAGGCTAAGCCTTGTGACATATGCCTGTTATTCCAGCTCCTCGGGAGGCTAAGGCAGGAAAATCAAGGCTAGCCTCAAACACAGCATGACTCTTTCTCAAAACAAAGAGTAAAGAAGGTTAGAAGTATAGTTCAGCTTTTGTTTGGAAGATCTGTCCAGTGGCGAGAGAGGTGTGTTGAAGTCTCCCATGATTATGGTATGGTGGTCTATTAGACTCTTGAACTTGAGAAGAGTTTGTTTGACGAACATAGCTGCACCATTGTTTGGGGCATAAATATTTATGATTGTTATGTCTTGTTGGTGTATGGTTCCCTTAAGCAGTATGTAGTGTCCCTCTTTATCTCTTTTGATTAACTTTGGCTTGAAATCTATTTTATTTGATATGAGTATGGATACTCCTGCTTGTTTCCGAAGTCCATATGAGTGATATGATTTTTCCCAACCTTTCACCTTCAGCCTATGTATGTCTTTTCCTATCAAATGCGTCTCCTGTAGGCAGCATATTGTTGGGTCTTGTTTTGTGATCCATTCTACTAGCCTGTGTCTCTTAATTGGTGAGTTTAAGCCATTAACATTTAGGGTTATTATTGAGATATGGGTTGTTCTTCCAGCCATATTTGTTTATTTCTGTTACTAAACATGGTTTGTTTTCCTCTTTGATTATTCCCCCCCCCCTTTACTGTCCTACCTCCCACTGTTGGTTTTCATTGTTATTTTCCATTTCCTCTTCCTGTAATGCTTTGGCGAGCATTTTGGAAAGCAGTATGGAGATTTCTTGGAAAGCTGGGAATGGAGCCACCATTTGACCCAGCTATTCCCCTTCTTGGTCTATTCCCTAAAGACCTAAAAAGAGCATGCTACAGGGACACTGCTACATCGATGTTCGTAGCAGCACAGTTCACAATAGCAAGACTGTGGAACCAACCTAGATGCCCTTCAATAGATGAATGGATAAAAAAAATGTGGCATTTATACACAATGGAGTATTACTCTGCATTAAAAAATGACAAAATCATAGAATTTACAGGGAAATGGATGGCATTAGAGCAGATTATGCTAAGTGAAGCTAGCCAATCCCTAAAAAACAAATGCCAAATGTCTTCTTTGATATAAGGAGAGTAACTAAGAACAGAGTAGGGATGAAGAGCAGGAGAAGAAGATTAACATTTAACAGGGATGAGAGGTGGGAGGGAAAGGGAGAGAGAAGGGAAATTGCATGGTAATGGAAGGAGACCCTCAGGGTTATACAGTGGAGGGGGTAGAGAGAGAGTAGGGGAGGGGAGGGGAGGGGAGAGGTGGGGAGGGGGGAGGGTGGAGGATGGGAAAGGCAGCGGAGCACAACAGACACTAGTATGGCAATTTGTAAATCAATGGATGTGTAACTGATGTGATTCTGCAATCTGTGTATGGGGTGAAGGTGGGAGTTCATAACCCACTTGAATCAAAGTGTGGAATATGATATGTCAAGAAATATGTAATGTTTTGAACAACCCACAATAAAAAATTAAAAAAAAAAAAAAAAGTATAGTTCAGCGATAAAGTGCCCCAGAGTTCAATCCATAGTACCACAAATAAATAAAATTAAATAAAAACTAATTTAAGAGTTGGGGTTGTAGCTTAGTGGTAGAGTGCTTGCCTAACACATGTGAGGCCCTGGGTTCTATCCACAGTACCACATAAAGATAGATAAATAAAATAAAGGTATTGTATCCATTTACAACTACAAATTTAAAAAAAAAAAAACTAATTTGAATTTAAAAGCAAATTCATTCCATCAACCCGATTTATGAAACAAATAGAAAAGTCTATACATTTACAAATACATCCTCACAATTTTACCCCTGTTGATATTGAGTCTTGGAACAGCTGTTCCTCTTTAACACAAAATTCCTATCTTTCTTAACAAAAGATAATTAGCACACTCCACAGCAGTGTTTCACTGTCTTGGTGCTACTGCTATCTTGGTTGGGATAATTCTTGGGGGAGAAGGCATCATAGGATGTCAGACCCCATTACCAACATCCTTGGTCCCTACCCACTAGAAGCCACTAGTGCACCCACTATGAGGTTATCATCACCAGGAAGTCTTCACACATTGCCAGTATCCACTGGGAGGCAAAATCACCTCCATCTGAGAGCCACAATGCTAGCACCATGAGTAGAAGGGGATTAAATCCAGGACAACCAGTGGATCTTGGGGCAGACCTCCAGGCTGGCTATGAAGGAGAAACCAAAACAAGAGCAGTCTCTAACCTCTGGGAGAGTGCAGAATCTAAAGAGCTCCTTATCTTCCTGAAAATCTTGGATCTTCGAGATTATTTTCTCACTTGGACTATATTCTGATTTCGCAATGGACACATCTCTCATTATCATCAGTCCTACTGGTTTCGACTCCTGTCTGCAGATCTTTTCAAATTCAACCCTAGAAAATTAAATATACAAACAATGTCATGACCTCTGCTCTAAGCCCCTGGTTGACCCTGTGCAAATAGCTGCAGATTCAGGAGCAGTTTCTACCAAGTCAGCCCTCAGGCCTAGTGAGGCAGGGAGGAGGAAATGGCCAACTCAGAAATCGTGGTCTCCTAACTGAAATCCACTGCCAGAATGATAATATTGCTTTGTTTAACACACCAGTAGGGAAACATTTTCATGATTACATTGTAATAATATAAGGTGAACATCCCTTATCTGAAATACTTAGAACTAGAATATTTCAGATTTCAGGTATTTTTTGGTTTGGGGAATATTGACATGTACATAATGAGCTGATTGTGATAGAGCATGCCTGTTATCCCAGAGATGAGGCTGCAGGATAGTAAATTTGAGACCAGTCTATTCAATTTCAAGACTGTCTCAAAATTAAATATACAAAGGACTGGGAATGGAACTTCATGGTAAAGTTTTCTTGGGTTCAATCCCAAGCACTAAAAACAATAATAACTTTCTTTTTTTTTTTTTTTTTTTTGGTACCGGAGATTGAACTGAGGGGCACTCGCCCACTGAGCCACATCCCCAGGTCTATTTTGTATTTTATTTAGAGACAAGTCTCGCTAAGTTGCTTAGCGCATCGCCATTGCTGAGGCTGCCTTTGAACTCAGGATCCTCCTGCTTCAGCCTCCCAAGCCACTGGGATTACAGGTGTGTGCCACCTCGCCTGGCTGAAAATAATAATCTTAATGACAAAAATAATAATGAGATGTCCTGGAGATGACACCTAAGTCTCATCCCCAAATTACTTCATGCTTCCCGTATACCTTATACACATAGCTTAACGATTTTATTTATTTATATATATATATATATATATATATATATATATAAAATATTTATATATATATAAAATATATATATTATATACATACATATAATACCCTTAAAGAAGAATAATTTCAAAAACAAAAACAAACCCTAATTTAGGCCAAGCCTTGTGACATATGCCTGTTATTCCAGCTCCTGGTAATAACGGTAATTTTATACAATGTTTTTAGTGTATCTGTTTTGTGGCCAAGACCATCACATGGGTCAGGCATGGAATTTTCCCCTTATGACATCATCTTGGTGCTCAATGATTCGTATATCAAATTTTCTGATAAGTGATGCTTGGCTTATAATAGCAAATACTCCTATAGCACCTACCTTATACCAGGCATTGTTCACAGTGCTCTCCATATATTTTACCTTATTTTGTCCCAATAGTAATGCCAGATCAGTGCTATTACTATGCCCATTTTACAGAGGAATACACACAGGTATGGAAAACTTAGTTCATACTCTTTGGTCCAATACTTCTAGTTGTAGGTCTTTAAGAAAATGACCTTAAAATGTCTGTGGGACACACCATGTTAAGTGGTAAAGCTGAGATTAAGGCCAGAAATTCTGGCTCCAGAGCCCATGCTTCTAAACACATCCCAACAAACCACATCACTCAAAAATACCTGAACATGCAGAGGCTAATCTAACATGTACTCCCATCACATACATGACATACATATTTTATGAATTTTTATTCTTCTATTACAATTATACCTAATAGTAGAATCCATTGTGATATATTCACACTTACACAGAGTATCAGTTGGTCAGTTTCATTCCCCAGCACCTCTCCTTTTCTTCCCCTCTTCCATCCCGTGGACCCCTTTCCTATACTCTACTGATCTCCCTTCTGTTTTCATAAGACCTCTTTTTACCCCCTTGTTTCTCTCTGGTTTCCACTTATGAAAGGAAACAATGACCCTTGACTTTCTGAATCTTACTTACTGCACTTAACATGATGTCCTCCAGTTCCACCCATTTCCCTGCAAATGACATAACTGACATAAAACACTTTTGTGTGTAAAATAAGCAAGAGTATTACTGCACCTAAAGCGTTGAATATCAGCATCAGATACTAGATTTTTAATAACAAGAAATCCATTTTCTTCATAAAATTTTCTCTGTTCCAGGCTTAGCACATTATTATCCAAAGTATACCTACAGGAGAAAAAGGCACCAAATTAGTACAAATTTTATATTACAACCTAACATTATGTACCAAGAACCCAAGAAATCTTTGATCCAATACTTCTAGTGTAGGTCTTTAAGAAAATGATCTTAAAATGTTTGAAAAACTTCAGGTCCAAAATATTAACAATGGTCACAAAATGTACAGTAATGGAAGAAAAATTAATGACTGACATATCTACTTGATGGAGCATTAAAACTGAAGGACACAAGAGTGTGGAAAATTCAAATGATAATAAAATGATTACAATGACATAGACATGACACTATTTGTGAAAAGATGACTGCTGAGACACACACCAAAAAAAAGTAAAAAACATTTTGCCAAACAGTGATTATCTTTGAATACTAGAATTTTGGGTGATTTTTTAAAACAATTCCCTCTATTTCTCTGATTTTGAACTTTTTGTAGAGTGCACATATATGGTTTTCAGTTGGGGAACTAATCCAATAAATTTTATATTTTCAACTTAATACATTCTCAGAAGTAATCAAAGTAAACAAAAGCCAAATGAGAGTTCAACAAACAAGCGAATACAAATCATCTGTCTCTTAAGATAGAATTTGGACTATAACAATATTTATGAGGGTCCAGGCCTTTCCTTTAAAGGTGATTGAAGATAATAAACCTGAGTGAACACAGTGGTGTGGGCTTGTAATCTCAGAGATTCAAGAGACTGAAGGAGGAGGACGACAAGTTCTAAGCCAGCCGCAGCAATTAAGGGAGGCCCTAAGCATCTTAGTCACTGTCTCAAAATAAAAAATCAAAAGGACTGGGGAGGCAGTTCAGTAGTATACCACCATAGGTTTAATCAACATACACACTCAGAAAAAGATAGTAAACCTGCCAGGTGTGGTAGTACACACTTCTATAATTCCAGCTACTCAGGAAGCTGAGGCAGGAAGATTGCCTGAGCCTTGGGGTACAAAACAACCTGGGCAACATAGCAAGAGCCACAACTCAAAAATATTAAAAAGAGGAGGAGGGGGGGAGGGGGAGGAGGAAGAGGAGGAAGAAGAGGAGGAGGAGGAAGAAGAGGAGGAGGAGGAAGAGGAGGAGAAAGAAAGAAAAAGAAAAAGAAGGATACGAAGAAAAAGTAGAAAAAAATGTATATTGTAAACCAAAAAATTAGCTAATATTTCAGTTTAACTTAACTACAAACTAATTTAACTGTGATAACTCGTGGTTCCATTTTCAAAACTCAGATTATACATTTTCTGGTATTTTTCCTTCTTTCTGAATTTAAGAATAAATATAGAAAATTAAAGTCAAAGTCTTCAAAGGCATTCACAATTCTACTAATTAGAACAATCCTGGAAATAGAGAATGTGTATAATAAATTTTAATCAGGCAACATGTTATATTGTATATCATATCCAAGCTAACACTGGAAAAGCATTTATAGTAAGGAAACCAATTAAAATTACATCTACTTACTGGAATTGCTGAGGATGAGAACTGGCAGGGGCAATAGGCCCTGAAGTGGGGGAAGCTACCTAACCAGCGAATTAAGGCGAACAAAGTAAAATTTGGGAGTCAAACTTGTCAAGAAACAACTACCTTCTCTGGGGTGGTTCTCACAGGAAAGGAGTTCCCTAAACGCACCAGGTGCTCAGGTTTCCCACATCACCCTGACAGGTACACACTGCTGCTTTAAGTCCTTTCATTTATATCACTTTGTCTCATTGTCACAATAATCTGAGGAGGTGGTGAGAATATCAGGAGCTTTATAGTCATATGCAAATGAATGGAAAACACTCAAAAGTTTACAAATGATTTAACTGGTAGAATAATGAGTTACATGTTTTTAATTTCCCATTTCAACTTACCTTCTTTAAACACACACACACACACACACACACACACACACACACGCACGCGCGACATGTTTTACTTCAAGAATGATTAGTCCTTATTCCAAAATATACCATTCTAAGAAACAATGAAAGCTGGAGAAAAATTGCCACAAGTCTTTAAGAAGTCTAAGACTAAAGGAAACATTCACTATAAATCTTGGTCAGTGTTGTCCAAGATCATAGCGACCAGGCACCTCTGGCTATTTAAGCTGAAACTAATTGAATGTTAAAATGCAGTCCCTCACCTGCACTCATCCTAATTTGACTGATTTCAGTGGCTCAATAGCCACATGTGGCTGGGGCTACTATATTGCACAATCCAGGCATGAAATATTTCATCATCACTGAAAGCCAAACTTAACAATGCTGATATGGGAAAAAAAAAAAAAAAACATCAAAAAACTAATCTCTAAGCTCAGCTATAGCAGGGTCAGAAAATCCAATTAAAAATATATACATATATTAAGAGGGTTGGGATTTAGCTTAGTGGTAGAACACTTGCCTAACATGCACCACACCTTGGGTTCCATCCCCAGAATGACAGAGAGGAAAAACAAAGCAATGAGAGGCTGAACCAAGAAATCCCAATTATACTCCTAAATATATCCAGTCCCAGTGTATCACAACTCTCAGTATTTAGCCTGCATCAGAAATAGAACATATAGGAGACCTCAGGGCAACACCTCTAGATTCTGATTCTGCAGTCTGAGCTGAATTGAGCCTTAGAATTTGCATTCCCCACCACTCCTGGGATGAAACCCAGGGCCCTGCAGTACTAGGCAAGCCCTCTACAACTGAATTAAACCCACTGAGCTACACCTGCACAGCAAAAGTCCTTTTCTAACAAGTTCTTCTGACAAATTCCCAGGGAACGCAGATGCCACTGGTCCATGGACCACACTATGACAAACACTGGTATAGTTAAATAGTTCAAATTTTTAATCTCTTCTATTCTCTGTTTCTCACTGTAAAATGAGCTGACATCCTCTCCTGGAGTCTCTTTACCACTTTACCGTCCTATGGACAAAGTTTAAAATGGCAATGTTCTTCCATGTTGCTGCTTGGAAACCCACTGGGAAGAGAAACACTGAAAGTCCAAGACACAGCTATTAGACTCAACCTTAGGAGAGATGTCAGGATGTTAACAAAAAGCAGAAGAGAGGCTACTGGCTTAAAGAAAAACTCCAGGCAGTTCCTACAGAGCTTCCCAAAGCACTCTCTGAATGAGAAGGCTTAAACTGAGCAGGCAAAAGTAGTTCAAGAAACCGATTTGAATTGTGGATCCTATTCACACTACCACATTTCTGGGTCTGTTTCTCCCCTACAAGCCTGGCACACACATCCTGGCTGGCATTCACTTCTGAAGACTCAAGGACAACCCAGGCACTGGATTCTAAGTCCTTTTCCCGACACCAGTGCAGACTCTTCCAGGGTCCCCAGGTCACCAGAGGCTGCCATAGAGCACAGAGCTCCACTAGCAAGGGGAGCAACCTGAAGCACAGGCTGAGAGAGGGTTCCACCATTCTAGTGGCTTGTCCTCTAAGTCCCTTCCAGTCAGCTCTATGCTTCTGTGTGATTGTCCTGGGGCATTTCTTGGTCTCCAGATATTCCCTCGCAGAGGTCATGCACACTAAGTGCAGAAAACGACAAAGCAGCTGACTCTGGCAAGGCCTCTTTTGGGACCCACCGCCGGCCCTAAGAAGGACCAGAAAGGTGGAGCGAAGCGATAGCTGCCACGGAAACCAGGACAGTCCTGTACCCAATCGCCTGGAAAGAAGTCTTTGAGGGGGTGGGGGCCACCAAAGCATAGAGATCCAGCCTCCACCCCGTTCCCGGGCGCCTGTTTGAGATGTAATCTTTGCAGGGATAGCAGCGCGGAGGGCCGAAAAGGGCAAGCGAAGTGTCCCTCCTGCGCCCTGGAGGCCACCACCTAGGCCCAGGCCTCCCCCAAGGACTAGGCTGCTGTGCTCCACCTGGAGGGAGCCCAGTCCAGCCCAAAGGATACCACGGCCACGGCCGATGGACGGCCGAGGTGCCCCAGAACAATCCGCAGGCGAGCTGAGGCGCGCTGCTGCTCCATGGCTGCTGCAAGGACACTCACCACAGGGTCGGGCTCCACTTCATTTCCGGGCCGCCCGCCTCCTGGCGAGAGAGGGAAGGCGCAGCGGTCCCACGCGACTCCCGGGGCTCCGCCTCCCGGGCCCGGGGGAGAGACTCCCAGGGCCCCCGGGTCAGCTGGGATTGCCAGGATTGCAAGTTCCTGGCACCTGGGCTCCTTCTTCTCCTGCGCGCTGTTTCTAATCCACAGGACCCTCGCTGGCGGACCAGAGCAAGGCTCTTAACTTCATAGCTTCAGTCCATCACCAACCAACCATCCTCGCAACTCTTCTCTCCACTGCTAAAATCCAAAGGTTTATCCCTAAAAATCGATCGTGCTGTTCAAAAGAGATTTAATTTAGTGCGAATCCAGCCCAAAATATTAGTTTGGCTGCCCCCCCCCTTAAATGTATTAAATAAATGGCTTCCAGAAAATTGTGATAAAGTCTAGCAAAATTTGAATTTTTTTTTACAGAACTAAAAGTTCTTTTGTAAGATCTCTTTGTAACATCTTGTTGTAAGACCTGCAGATGATTGGCATTGCATCTGCTCTCTCCTTCCCCTCATTTTCTCATTGGTTCTTTAGCATGGAGTTACTTCCAGAATGTTGTTCCTTGTAAACTTACTATCATGTCTTTAATGGAGTCTTTATATAATTTGGTGACAGTGCCATAGTACACCATGACCATCAGCCCATCAGATATTATCTGTTTCTTCAGAGGGAACAACAGCCACTGGAAAATGGCCTACCCTTTGGCCTTCTCCTTTGGGTTCTTTATGCCTTTCCCATGACATTCCTCACCTGTGTTCCCAGAGTCTAGAGTCCTGCTCACAGAAGGAAATAAAATAAATTTTGAAATTCCAATGAAATACAGAGAAAGGACTGGGGATGTGGCTCAGTGATTAAGTGCCCCTGAATTCAACACACCACCACCCCCTCCCCCTGGGGGAAAAAAAAAGAACTTCCATATTATCTAGCAATTTCATTTCTGGAATTGAAAGCCAAAAGATACTACAAGAATGGAAAGCAGGTTCTCATTCATGTTCACAGCCGCACTGTTCACAATCACTGAAAGGAGGAAAGCAACACACAATGGAGAAGTCAATGAGCAGGGGTCCATATAGACATACCATGGAATATTATTCAGTTTTTTAAAGGATGGACGTTCTGACACATGCCATAGTATGGAAGAACCTAGGACACTGTGCTAAGTGAAATAACCTGTCAGGAAAAGACACATACTTTGTGTCTGAGTGTCCCTAAAGTAACCAAATTCATAGAACCAGGAGGTAGAATGTGGTGGCCCTGGCTAGGGGAAATGGGAAAGGAGAATTTGCATTGACTGGGGCTGATGTGTCAGTTCAGTAAATTGAAAAGAGTTCAGTCAATGGATGGTGACAATGGCTGCACAGCAGTGTGAATGTACTTAATGTCACTGATCTACTCACTTAAAAATGGCTAAGATGGCCAGGTGTGGGAGCACATACTTTTAAACCCAGTGACTGGAGAGGCAGAAGCAGGAGGATTGCAAGTTCCAGGTCAGCCTGGGCAATTTAGTGAGACCATGTCTCGAAATAAAAAATACAAATGGCCTAGGATGTTGCTAAATTGTAGAGTACTGGTTCAACCTCCAGTGATGAAAACACACAAACAAAACGATAAGATGGCTAATTAGATATTTTATCTCAATTTTATGTATAAAAAAGAACACAGGAGTAAAGGGAAGAAGCTCCAAGCACATTTATGTGAGCAAAGGCCTCTGACTTTCCTCAAGTCTGAGTCCCAAGATTCTTAGAAGAAAGTTATGGTTTTATTTTGTGCTTTGAGCATAAGTTTTTGGATTACTGTCTGGTGAAATGAACAGGCCAGGACACATCTCCTCCCACTGAGCAGCCAGGCTTCTCCTCATTCTGCCACGGCATTCCTGTCCCATCTCTTCATGTTCCAGCAGAGGTTTGCTCCCACCCTTCACAAGGAGGGTGCACATGGGTGAAAAACAGCCCTAGTCATCCTGCTGTCATTCCCCTTCCCACTACAGAGTGGGTGCCTACAAATTGCTATGTGAACTAATGGATAGAAGGGACACAGATGAGATGAGAAATGCATGTTCCTGACAGAAGAGTTGGCTTCCACTCACAGATGCACACGGGGAATGATAAAGTGTGCTCTTTGCCCTGGTGAAGTTTGGTTTGTCAATAGCAGTTGAGTAGGATGTCTGCACATGTGGTTGTAATCATAACAACTGAGGAGGCCCAGGCAGGAGGAACAAATTATGCTGCAACTAGTTGAAAGTTTATTCTAGATCAAAGCAGTGCCCTCTGCATGCTGTTTGCACTGGCATTCCTTATTTACATTTTAGTTCCTACCATTCTAGAACCAGTTTTCTTAGGCCCTCTTAATGATTCTCTTGCCTTCACTCCTTTGCATATGTGGCTAAGAAAATAACAAATGTGGAAACACAAGACGTAGGAAAACCTGTGCTGAGCAGAATGACAGGAAAGGCACTAGGCTGTTTCTTTCTTAATGAAGTCTTCACTAGAATTTTTAAAATAAGGGCTATATCTCCTTGCTGCCCTCAAGTGGTATAAAAAATACAATGCTATATTGGAATTAATCCCCAGTCCAGGCTCACTCCCGATTCAGGCTAAAGTATCTTAAAATGTCCCTGTTCCTCGAAACAGCTTAGGTTTCATTCATAAATGCTAAAGGCTTTCAATTACCCTGCTTAATAGGAAATACAGGGGAAGTTATTCTTGTCTACATTCCTTAGAAACAAAGGAAAAGATATTGTGTTTTTGAAGGAGAGTTGCTGGGTTGAAGAAGTCATTAAGTTCATTGCACTGCAAAATTAACTCTACCCAATAAAGTGTGCTATGTTCTTTCTCAAGATAATTTCAGCTTTCATATAACTTGCCACTGCAGTGATAACTTATTCCAAATTTGACTGGGTAACAAACTTTTATGACTAAGATGATGAACCACAGGGTGGTACATTTCTTTTTAGGATTTGGAGATATACACTCATTGAGAAAACTTAAGCTTAACAATGTCAAGATCTGTTACTTAGGTACTTATGCCCCCTGTCCTATATATACCTTAAAAAAGTAAATATCACAGCTAGTTAAATTTCCTTTTTTGTAATTTCTTAATTAGGATTTAGCTGAGGGGCTGGAGGGAGAGGATGACCTACAAAGAGACAGATTTAGGATGCCATGGAGGGGCCTGGCAGTTTGTAAATCAAAGTCTGGTTGGGTGCAGTATTGCACGCCTATGATTAATATTTCCATTAGGCAATCCAGTCAGATTCCAGAGAGCAATTCCACCTGGTTTTTTGCTCGCTCATTGCTTGTTCATATTCTGCCATGATGTCAATGGACAAAGGACTCAGCCCATGGATTTCATTTGATCTTGCTAATACTGCCCTTCAGTTCTTCCAGTCTCTTGATTCATATGTATTGTGCATCTACTATACAATCAGGATTTATTCGAAATCCTGGGTATATATCTATGAACAAAGCACACTTCTCAATCAGAAGTGACATTTAGGGGTCAACACATTGATATTATTACCCAGCTTGTTTCCTGCTGAAGATAAGGCTGAGGTTACTTAGTTCTCCTTTTTCCAGACCCAAAAAAAAAAAAAAAAGTATAAACAGTTCTAAGCGGAAAAACGATAGCTAAAACTCACCTTCTTTGTCATGACTTAGTTATTTTAAGGCGATCACACCTGTCAAAAGGACCTTCTACTTCGTACCAAATTTCAAACTTCTGGAGTACAGATTACATTTCTTGTGCAGGCTCCAATGTCATGCACAACCATAGCAGGCAAAGGAAAAGGAAAAGTGTGCACTTTTACAACCATGTAAAAATGGTAAGTATTTTTCCAGAACACATAATCATTGAAAATATAGAAAAATTGCTAAGTTAACATGCTATTTTAGTATTTCAGCCACGGGGCTGTGCGCTACAAGGTGAGACACTCTGAAGCAATTTCACAATGACCGAGATTTAAAAGTAACTGATTTAGAATCCTAGGGGTACCTGACTTCTGACTGAGTAGAGCAAAAAAAAAGCACAAGGAAGGCAAATATACTTCCTGGTAAGTAAATTGGATAAAACAGTCTAGTGAAAAGTTGTAAATCTTTTACATGTTACCTTTTACATGTACCTATGATTTTCTCTTTCGAACCCATTCATCTTTCAAAACTGGAACAACGTGGATGCATACTTTCTGGAATCCTTGAGTTTGGTTCCAATCAGATCCATGGATGAGCAATGGGTGAAAGAAAACAGCATCTCCCTTCTCCATCACAAGGTGCACTCAGGCATGGTCTTGGTCATAGTCCTGGATCCCATGGGACATGGGGTTAACTCCACCCTGGAACACATAAGACAGGCACAGTCAGTCTATAGTGGAGGAAGAAACCAATGCTTTGTGTATGACTTGGCAGGGACAGCAAGGGTTCTCTGACTTCTACCAAGAGAAAGAGTTTCTTAAATTAAAACTAATGAAAAAGTCTGTCATATGTCTGGGTTTTGAACATCACATCCTGCAGGTACAGTGGTACACACCTGTGATCCCAGCTACTTGGGAGGCTGAGACCAGGCATCACAAGTTCAGGGCAGCCTAAGCAAACTTACCAATACCCCATCTGAAATTAAGATTTTTACAAAAGAATGGAGATGTAGCCTAGTGGTGGAGGATTTGCCTAGGATGTGTGTTGGAGTAACTTTCAGTCTCAGCTATCAGCTATGAGCAGCTCAGAAGTGCCTAAAATATCCACGTTCCTTTAGGCCTGAAACCACATCCTCAGCACTTGTGGTTAGCGTTGCCAAACTACCAGGCCAGGAAACCAAGAGTCAGAGGCTTCAGGGCATGAAACCCCAGACTCAGTAAGGGCCAAAGACCCTTCCAGATTGCTTTCTACCACGACAGCAATATTTACAGTTTCCTAACAATGCGGTTACATTAGGCAGAAGATGATTGACTTATGGATATTGTCTTGCTTATATATGAGTGACAGGCACTCCCCACAAGAACCTTATAACAGTTGTGTGCATTTCAGAAATAAACTGAGCTACTGGACGATGACCTGACACATATGCCTTTCTGCAGCACTAAGCCCTGATGAATCCAAATTTAAAAGTTTAGAGTAAAAAGGGTTATTTTAAGTTTAACTTTGGGGGATATATACCCCTTTCCAATTCCCTCTTTTTGCTTTAATAAGTACATTTTAATAGTTTGATGAGCTCTTTCAACTATGCCTTGTCCCTTTGGATTGTATGGGTTTCCTGTTATATGAGTAAACCTCACAAGTTTTATCCTATTCCTAAATTAAAAAGCACTGACCTGCACCTGTAAAATACAACCACATCAAACACCATGGAAAATCATTCCCAAGAGAACAGCACCAAACAAAAATAGCAGTCAACAGGGGCTTATACTTTCTTCTGAGTTACTAGTGCTGGGAGCTTACACTCTTTCCTAGTAAATTGCATATACCCCATCATCCCTGTTGTGTCTTTTTCCTTTGTCACTCTGGATTTGGAACAGAGCTAGCTAGTATGCAGTAAGGATTAAAAACAAACAAAAAAAAAATGTTGGATGAATTAAGTTGAAGAGAATGTTATAGAGTCAAAATTGAGGTCCCCTTCAAAGTGGCTGATGCCCAAAACAGCTTCCTTATAGGTCTTACTTTACAGAGCAGTAGGTGTTCTGTGTATCATCAGTGACCAGTCAGAACCACTGACCATACAGTCATTTTCCCCAGCTTTGCTCTTGGAACTTGATTCCCAGACTACCTCATATCACCCATGGAGGAAGACATTTAGTGACACTGGGCTTTACTCCTATCCCATAAACTTTTCCCAGCTGTCAGAAGGAATAAAGAATAGAAAAGAATAAAGTCCTTTCATGGCTGATTTCTGCTGCTGGTATAAAAAAAAAAAAAATCTCTTAGTGAGGTCAGAGAGCCACCTGTAGTAAAATCTCTGGGGATGAGTACCAAAATGCATGCACCTGGGATCTACTTCAGACTCAGTGTGTCTGTGAGGATTTAGAATCTAGTTTTTGGCAAGCACAAAGCAATATGAGGACTTGAGTGTGACTTGTAGTAACTACTTTCATTCTGTTAGTAATAATGATGGCTTCAGATCAGGAACACAGATTTTTTGATATCCTAAGAATGGCTGATGAAGATCAGAGATGTTGAATAGAATGAGTCTAAGATATAAGAACAGTCACAATTGTTAAACTGCTTTTTTGGGGAGCAGGTGATCTGAAAATTTAGCAATAACCCTAAAATCAACATCTAAAGTCATTATTTCATTTAGATTTGATATAACATCAGCTATTAAGACTTATACAAAAGCATGCACATTCAGTCCCCACAGTTTGAAAGTTGCACACATGACCAGGATAGAATATCAACTTTACCTATGTTAATTAAACAATCTTTTTTCTTGCCTCTCTTTAACAAATAAAAGCCTTTTACCAGTATCTGGAGGTTTGTTTATCAGCATTGTGTGCATGGCCATAATATTGGGTCCAGTGAAGCACTCCACATACTTCAGACTCTAAGAAAATTGAGAAGAAAGTTGGGGATTTCATTAGAAATCAGAAGTAAAGGCAAGTGGTGAAAGTGCCACCATCCACACAGAAATCAAAATCGTAATGGTGTGAAAACTAATTGGTATTTCACAATACTGCCAACAAAGCATGAAAACCTTGTATTTGGAAATCATTCTAAATCTCCAGCACTCCGAACTCAATGGGATGTTTTTGAGCATAATTGAAGTATAACCTTTTTATTTTGCCTTACCAGAAAGATAAGAGTATCTAGGAGGTATCAACTACCCAGGATCAGCTCTTCTACTAACCAAAGCCACCGAGGGTGGCCCAGGCAGAAGGCAGTGTCTCCCTCCTCCTTGGAGACCCTGCATAAGAAGGGCCATGACTTTGTGCTGTCACCAGTAGCTCAATAGAAAGCAGAACCCTAGCTCAGAGGACCTTGCCCATTTTCTCAACAAATTCTTCCCTAAGGTCCACGAACCAAGCAGAGTAAAGGCCAGTAAGGGGCCAAAGAATGAATAAGAAAAGGAGGTCCCTGTCCCCATGGATTTTAAGTCTCCTGAGAAGAAAGGAAAGTAGGAAATCTGAACATCACGGATGGTAGTGCTTCATCCACCATGAGATGGTTCCGGCTTCAAGTGATTCTGTGATCCACCTGCAGACTTCCATTCCCATCACAGCACTGGGGTGGGAAGCACTGATGGTCAGGAACCATTTCCCTGGGCCTCTACTCCAGGGTGCTGGGCAGTATATCACAAGTGATTTATCTGTGAAGTCTGTCTCCAGGAGTCAAACACTCTGACAGCATCTGATTATGATTTTCCATAATGCTATACAGAAAGTCTGAGGCTGGATAGAGAGATCTGCTTGGGTATTTTTAGAAATATGAATTACTATTAATTATAATATAATTTGTTTAAAAAAACATTTTAAGCCAGACATAGTGATGCATGCCTGTTATCCCAGCTGCTTTAGAGCCTGAGGCAGGAAAAATCCTAAATTCAAGGCCCACCTCAACCACAGCATAACCCATATCTCAAAATGAAGAATAAAAAGGTTGGGAGTGTAGTTCAGTGATAAAGTGCCCCTTAGTACCACAAATTTAAAAAAAATTAAATAAAAACTAATTTAAATTCAAAAGCAAATTCATAACTCCACTGACCAGATTCACAAAACAAAAAGACAAAAGTCAATAGATTTACAAATAACAGTCTCACAATTTCACCACTGCTGATATTGAGTCTTAGAAGGGCTCTTTCTCTTTTTAACACAGAATTCCTGTCTTTCCTAAAAAAAAAAAAAAAAAAAAAAAAAAAGATTAAGACACTCCATAGCAATGCTTCTTGGTCTTGGTGCTATTGGTATCTTGGGTGGGATAATTCCTTGGGGAGAGGGCTTCATAGGATCTTGGGACCCTTTAGGAGCATCCTTGACTCCTACCCACTAGAAGCCACTAGCAAACCTATCCTGCTATTGTCACCACCAGGAAAGTCTTGAGACATTGCCAATATCCACTGGGGGTCAAAATCACCTCCAACTGAGACCCACTACTCTAGTGTCATGTGTAGAAAGGGGTTAGATTCAGTACAACCAGCAGATCTTGGGCAGACCTGCAGGCTGCCTATGAAGGAGAAACCCAAAACAAGAGCAGTCTCTAACCTCTGGGAGAGTGCAGAATCTAAAGAGCTCCTTATCTTCCTGAAAATCTTGGATCTTCAAGATTATTTTCTCACTTGGACTATATTCTGATTTCGCAATGGACACATCTCTCATTACCATCAGTCCTACTGGTTTAGACTCCTCTCAGCAGATCTTTTTAAATTCAACCCTAGAAAATTAAATATACAAACAATGTCATGACCTCTGCTCTAAGCCCCTGGTTGACCCTGTCTTGTGCAAATAGCTGCAGATTCAGGAGCTGTTTCTACCAAGTCAGCCCTCAGGCCTAGTAGAGGGGGGAAGGAGAAAATGGCCAACTCAGAAATCATGGTCTCCTAGCTAGGTTCCCATTCTCCTAGACAATTCCTAAAAAAACACGTCATTCAAAAATATCCGAACATGCAGAGGCGAATCTAATTTTATATTCCTATTACAAATAAAATATGTAATTCATATTTTATAAATTTCTATGGATAAATCACAACTATACACAATGTTTAGATTCATTGTGATATATTCATACCTACACAGAGCATCTTTTAGTCAATTTCATTCCCTAGCACCTCTCCTATCCCTCCCTACCTCCATTCCATGGGCCCCTTTCTGTACTCTACAGATCTCCCTTCTATTTTCATGAGACTTTTTTTGCGTGTGTGTGGTGCTGGGGATCAAACCCATGGCCTTGTGAATGCAAGGCCCTTTTCCCCTTTGCTTCTCTCTAGTTTCCACATATGAAAGAAAACAATAATCCTTGACTTTCTGAGTCAGCCTTACTGCACTTAACATGATGTCCTCCAGTTCCACCCATTTCTCTGCAAATAACATAACTACCATAACACATTTTTTTTGTAAAATAAGCAAGAGTATTGCTGCACCTAAAGTGTTGAATATAAGTATCAGATACTAGATTTCTAATAACAAGAAGTCTACTTTCTTCATAAAATTTTCTCTGTTCTAGGCTTAGCACATTATTATTCAAAGTATACCTATAGGAGAAAAAGGTACCAAATAAGTCCAAATTTTATATTACGACCTAACATTATGTACCAAGAACCCAAGAAATGTTCATACTCTTTGATCCAATACTTCTAAATATAGGTCTTTAAGAAAATGATCTTAAAATGTTTGAAAAACTTCAGGTCCAAAACATTAATAAAGGTCACAAGATGTATAGTAATGGAAGAAAAACTAACTATGACATTACATCCACTCAATGAAACATGACTCAGTCATTAAAACTGAAGGTCACAAGAGTGTAGACAATACATTTTATAATAAAATATGATTTCAATGATATAAACAAGACATTATTTGTGAAAAGAACAGTATTTTAAATAAGGGAATTCTGGAAGTTTTTTTTTTAATTCCTTCTATTTCTGACTTTTAAAATTTTTTCTAGAGTGAATACATATGATATTCAGATGGGAAACTAATTCAATAAATTTTATATTTTCATTTTGATCATTAGATTCTCAGAAATAATCAAAGTAATAAAATCCCAATAAGAGTACAACATGCCAGCAAACCCAAATCACCAAACCTGTTTCTTATGATTGAAATTGTAGATATATACAGGTATTTATGAAGGTTAAATCTTCCCCTTAAAGATGATTGAAGGTAATCAACTGGGCCAGGCACAGTGGTGTATACTTAAAATTCCAGTGACTCAAGAGGCTGAGGAGTGAGGATATAAGTTTCAGGCCAGCCTCAGCCACTTATTGAGGACCTAAGCAACTTAGCAAGACCCTGTGTCAAAATAAGTAACCTGTGTCAAGTAAGCAAGAACCTGTGTCAAAAATGAAAAATAAAAAATACTGGGAATGCAGGTCAGTGTTAAACCACACCTTGGGTTCAATCTCCAGCATTAAAAAAAATAGGAAAAAAAGATAATAAACCTGTTAAACATGGCACTAAACACCTGTAATTCCAGCTACTCAGGAAGCTAAAGCTGGAAGATTGCTTGGGCCCAGGATTTCAATACCAACCTGGGCAACATCACAAGATCAGATTTCAAAAGAAAGAAAGAAAATATGTAATATATAGTACCCCAAATAGTAGCTAATGTTGATTTAACCAAACTACAAGCTAATTTATATATGATAAATCATGGCTGCATTTTCAAAACTCAAATTACGTATTTTCTGCAATATTTCCCTCTTTCTGAATTTTAGAATACAGAGCCTTAGAATTTGCATTCCCCACCACTCCCAGGATGAAACCCAGGGCCCTGTGGTACTAGGTGAGCCCTCTACCACTGAGTTAAACAAACTGAGTTACACCTGCCCAGCAGAAGTCCTTTTTTAACAACTTCTTCTGACAAGTTCCCAGGGGATGCAGATGACACTGCTCCATGGACCACACTATGACAAACACTGGCTTAGTTAAATGATCTTGGTCCAGAGTTTTAATCTCTCCCAGTCTCTGTTACTCACTTGGAAAATGAGCTGACATCCTCACCTGGGGTCTCTTTATCATTCTGTGGACAAAGTTTAAACTTTCAATGTTCTCCCACATGGCTGCTTGGAAACCCAGTGGGAAGAGCAACACTGAAAGTCCAAGAAACAGCTGTTAGAACCAACATTAGGAGAGATGTCAGGATGTTAACAAAAAGCAGAAGAGAGGCTATTGGCCTAAGGAAAACCTCCAGGCAGTTTCCTACCATTTCCAAAAGTACTCCCTTATCAAGGGTTAAACTGAGCAGGCAAAAGCAGTTCAAGGGCTGGGGATGTGGCTCAAGAGGTAGAGGTAGCATGCTCGCCTGGCATGTGTGCGGCCCAGGTTCGATCCTCAGCACCACATACAAACAAAGATGTTGTGTCCACCAAAAACTAAAAAATAAATAAATATTTAAAAATTCTCTCTCTCTTTCTCTCTCTCTCTCTTTAAAAAAAAAAAAAAAAAAAAAGCAGTTCAAGAAACAGATTTGATTCCCGCGGGTCTTATTCACAGTAACATACTTCTGGGTCTGCTCCTCCCTTATGTGCCTGGCGCACACATTCCTTCTAGGATTCACTTCTGAAGACTCAAGGAAGACATACAGGCTCAAAATTCTAAGTTCTTTTTCCAGACACCAATGCAGGACTCTGCCAGGATCCCCAGGCCACCAGAGGGTTCCACAGAGCACAGAGCGCCCCTGAGTTCCCCCTGCAGGCGGTGGACTTGGGCAGGGCCAATATGTCAGCTCCCCCTCTCGGAAAACAGGCATCCCCTATTGAGAGGATTCCAGTGGCTGGTCCCCTAGATCCCTTCCTGTCAGCTCTGTGCTCCTGTTTAGAGTTTGACTGTCCTCAGGCACTTCTCGGTCTCCAGGCATTCGCAGAGGTCGTGCACACTGCCTGCAGAACATGACAAGGCAGCTGACTAAGGCAAGACCTCAAGTGCGACGCGATGGCAGCCACCAGACCAGCCACTATGCACCCGATTGCCGGACGTGAGGGCCACCAGCGCTGGCCTGTCTCCCCACCCCGGAGATGTGACTATCGGAAGCCAATGGCGCAGAGGACCCAGTAAAGCAAGCGCAGTGGCTCTCCTGCACACTAGAGGCCACCACTTGGACCTGAGGCCACCTCCAAGGTGGAGGCTTGGTGCTCGGTCTGGCAGGAGCCCAGCTCAGCGCAAAGGATACCACAGCCCGGGCTGTGGTGACCAGCACCTTCTGCAGGAGAGCACCAGTGCGCTGCCGCACCATTGCCCTGCGAGGACGCCAACCCGCAGCGCCAGCCCCACTTTATTCCTGGGGCCTTGCGCCTCCCGGCGGGGGAGGGGCTACTCGACCCGGGAACTAAGTGGATGCCTGCGCGACACCCGCAGTTCCGCCTCCTGGGCTCGGCCTCTGAATGGGATTGTGGGTATGCGGGAAAAGCCCTGAGTCATTGGGTCAGGGAGGGGGCACTGTCACCGGAGCGCCTTTTTCTCCTGCTGTTTCTAACCCCAATGACTCTCCTTGCCGCACCCAGGATCCTGGGTTCAAGGACTTGGCAGGGACACTCCATGACCAAAGGCCGGGCCTGGACCCGACACACACTCTTTAACTTCATAGCTTAAATCTATTAATAGTCACCTGTTAGTGTCAGACTGTTCTTTCCACTGCTAAACCAGTAAAATTCAAATGTTTATTCCTAAACGTCGTTTGTGCTGTTCAAGAGTTTTAGTGAGCCTGGACCAAAATATTACAATTTGACTGCACTGCTTTTTTTTTTTTTTTTTAAGTGTGTGAAATAAATCACTCCCTGAAAAGCCTAATGAAGTCTAGGATAATTTAAATTTTTTATAGAACTGCAAGTTTTTGTTGTTGTTGTTGTTGTTTTAAAGAGAGAGAGAGAGAATTTTTTAATATTTATTTTTTAGTTTTCGGCGGACACAACATCTTTGTTTGTATGTGGTACTGAGGATCGAACCCCGGGCGCATGCATGCCAGGCAAGCCGGCTATGCTTTAGCCACATCCCCAGCCCAAACTACACGTTCTTTTTGTAAGATGGTTTTGTAACACCTTTTGTAAACTCTGCAGGTGATTGGCATTTCATCTGCTTTCTTTTCCCCCTCAATTTTCATTGTTTCTTTAGCAAGGAGTTACTTTCAGAATGTTGCTCCATGTTGTCAGTTCTTAAATACTGTCTTTGTTTTATTGTTTCATAATAGTTATACATACATTCAACTTCATTTTGACATAACTATAAATGTATGAAATAATTTACTCCAATCAAGTCCTCAGTATTTACCTGTACCCTTCCCCTCTTCCCTCCCACTGTTCCCTTTCCACTCCTCTACTGATCCTCCTGATTATTTACTTTTTTTCTTTTCTTCTTCTTCTTTTTTTTTTTTTTGTAAAAGTTAAGGTTTTGCAGTTATATAGAAAGGTGAGATTCATTGTAGTATGTTCATGTATGTACTTTGTGAAAGAATTCCCCACGCAAAGACACTTCGCCGGGAGACTTCCAATTTTATTGCAAAAAGCAGTGTGCTTATATAGAACTAAGGGGGAGATGGTAGGGTTTAGATAAATGGCAGGCAACCCGTTTATTGGCAAGTTCTTTCAGATATCAGCTCCGGAGCCCAGGAATTAGTTCTCATTGGGGCTAAGGTTCCCCGCCAGCGAGATTTGAAATTGGCGCAGGCGGGAGAGTTCACACGGGTGGAAACTTTTCGCGCCACTGCAGAAAAGAAGAAGG